CGGGCAGGAGAGTAGCCCGTTAGAATCGCATTTAGGAAAAAAGTTGAACGATTTTGACATTAGCCGTTTGTTTACATTTCTCCGTTGTTTACAATTTGGTGGTGGCTTTTTACTGCAATTTTCTTCATTTTCGCTTGTGACAACGTGTGTACACATAAGATAAAGAATAATTTAACACAACGGCATGATTTATAGAAGAATTTGCATAATAAAAACGATTTTTCATGCGTTCAACAATTTCGGGGTTTTCTTCGTTCTCTTCGTTGTTTACTTCTTACAACAAAGATGGCGTCGAGATTTCGTCAGCTAGAGAATAACTTTTTTCGTTCTTTCCTTCCCGCGTGACCTTGTGTCTTTCGTTCATGTTTTCCCTCATTTTCTTTTCATTAGTCTGCGTTCAAACACAGAAACTCGAGTTTCTTATTATCGGCGATTTCTCTTTTGGTGTTGCCCTTTGCATTCACACATAGAAACTCTTGTACGCAATTGTTGTTGTCAGCTGTGAATCGCCAACTTGAATTACTCAGACGAACGAGAGCACAAAGCGTGTTTCCCGAGTACAGGCTCCCCTTTCCTCGTCGCTCTCTCCCCTACAAGCTTTGAGTTTCCGCAACAAAAGTTTTCGAGTCTGAACGTCGACTTAGCAACCTCTTACTTTCATTCTTATTTTACTTTTGCCAGCCAATTAACTATAAATCCGAAATGGCGTATTTGGTAATTTTCGGATATACGAAAACTCCGATATTTCAATAACTGAGGACGCTAATTTACTCCAAGTTAATACCTATTTACAACAATCTCTTAACAATAAATAAGACTGCTATAAACTTTTAGGTAGTTTAAAGAAAGTTGGAACGACGATAGTTGATACCTGCGCCGAATAAATAAATTTCGGTTTCGCCCGAACTTATATTTCTTTACTTTAAATTTGCATGACCTGTTAATTAATTTTGAGGAGAAAATTTTCTGTTCAACTTTCATGACAGCAACCTTTTGGCAAATTAGATTATTATTTTTATTTCACCAAAATTGTGGTAGATTTTTTAAAATATATGGTAGTTGTGTTAGAATCAGGAACCGTAACGGTTAAAAAGTAAAAAAAACCATTCGTTATTTTTTCGCCGACATGTTTTCAGTCAAAAATAAAAGTTACAAATTAACTTAGCACTTGAATTTTATTATTTCGGTTAAATATAAAAGTTAAAATATGACTTTAATATTTTTATTGAGCTTTGTACCACGATTATTTTATTAGGAAAAATGGAAAAAGCAACAAAGTCTAAGCGGTAGAAGTTATAGCAGCTATTTCGGAGATCCCCACATCTCCTCATCAGACTTCTTTTCTCTAGACTTCAGAAGGGATCGAACCCGCGTCATCGATGTACAAAGTCAGAAGCGTTAACAACTGAGCTATGCACACCCCGTAAACTCGTGTTGCTAATTAATTTTCCTTATTCAACCTTTGACTTTTTTCAGTCAAAAATATAAGCTAAAATTTTCATTTTATTTTTTCCGTTAAATATAAAAGTTTAAACTTGACTTACTTTTTCCGAAGATTATGTTCGAAAAGCATTTGTGGAAATAAGCACCTATAAGAGGAAGCTCATTGATGTTGATACGGACCTTATGGATTACTGGGAGTTATAAACTGTATATATTTCCGACTAGGAGGTCTGGGATGTATAATACATCAAGTGCCAGCGACACAAGTCAGTGTAGAACACGCGTTCTCAGCACTAAGCTTATTCTTAGTGATTTGCGATACAATTTGTCGGAGCAGAACTATGCAGCTATATTAATGTTTAAATTGAATTCAGAATCATTCCTGTAAAGAGGTGAATAACTTAAAGCTTAAATTAAGGAAACTCAATATATTTACAGAAGATGAAAAACGGCAATTGAAAGGACGTGCATTTTTTTATTAAAACATACTTTATTGTGAATATGTAAACTGCTATTTTGACCGAAAAAATAAAAATCAAATTTTGACTTTTATATTTACCGAAAAAATAAAAGTCAAGTTTTAACTTTTACTTTTGACTGGAAAAATATCGGTAAAAAAATAACGGTTAATTGCTGACTTTTTTGCAAAAAGTTAAAAAAAAAAAAATCATATAGGGTTAGCATTCCTTGGCTAACGAGCATTACATTGCTATATACAAATGTTAAAAAGACCAGTTCTTTCCGACTGATTTTTTGAATTGAAATTTTGAAAATAACTATTATTATCGGTCCCTAACTTAGAAGTGAAAAATGACTCAAAATGTGGTAGATCTACCACAATTGTAATAAAGTGGTATCACTGATTCCGGCAGGTTCTGCAATTCACTTCCAAGTGAATTCTAGTCAAGTTCGCTTTGAACTCCAATTGGCAGGGGTTGAAATTCACTCGGAAGTGAATTGCAGAACCTACCCGAAAGTTCACAAAAATGAGTAAAGCTTAAAAAAAAATATGCATCAAACTTTTTATTCAGAATTTGTAGAAAATTTTCGAGTATGCAGTTTTGTAGCCTATTCAAATTTAGTATAATAAGTTTCAAGTCATAAATAAATAAATATGTACGACGATACGATAATAAATATTGTAGCCCATAAAGTCATAGCCAGTATTGTCAGAAAGTCCCACTAAGTTAAGCTAAGTTTACAGAATAACTTAAGTGTACACAAATTAAATTCTTAAATTGTATTCTACATTTTTAAAAGTACACCACGCGATAAAATTCTACGGTGACCCAGTTCGATTTTTTCATATAAAATAAAATGCCAACATTCCTTATATGAAAGAAAAAAAAAAAAAAATCAATGGTATTTTTAGACATTTCAAACTTGCACCTTTAATGAGTTAATGACATTCAAAAATATTTACCAAAAAAATTGTTACATATTCTGAATAAAAACTGTGAAATTGTGATGAAAATTTGTTGATTTTTTAAATCCTTGAATTTGTGATTTATTTCATTTTGTTAGAATATGCTAAACTTGTATTAAAAAATAATAATATTAATTAGAAAAAATATAAAGGAAATAGCTTAACCCGGGTAACCGTACAATTTTGTCGCGGGATGTATATTAAAATATGAAGACAATAACGACAAAAAATTAATACAGAAGATAGATCAGTTTATATTAGGGAAAATAAATCATATAAAATGAGACTAGTAACACTAAATGGAGGTTCACAATAGAAACTCACTCACTCACTCACTAGTGATAAAAAAAAATCGCAATAGCTACAACGCTCAACACTAATATTACCATTCACAAACACGTTTACTTTCAAAATTGCAATTCAGAATTTCCAAATATGAAATGTAGGTATGTCCATTTACTTAAACGCAAACGGATTAATAACACAGGTCCACAAAAAATCTCGATGAAAGGTTCCTTTAACCAAACCTAGTCTATTATACATTTTTGTGGTCGCTGTGCACGAATCTGAAGTCCGTTTTGCTCCATCACTTCTAGATTTTTTCCTAACCTCAAAAAACACCTCGGATTTTCTCTTTCACGTTAGAAAGGTGGTTAGAAAAAAATCTAAACGTGATGGAGCAAAACGGACTTCAGATTCGTGTTCAGCGACCGCAAAAACATATAACAGACAAGGTTTGGTCAAAGGAACCTTTTATCGATTTTTTTTGTGGACCTGTGTGATCAAAGTACTGGCAGATATTTCAATGTTTTGCACAAAAAGTATGTTTGATGATGAAATTGTACTTAAAATCGGTAAATTTCACTTTTGTACCTTTTAAAACAAACTGTACTAAAAAAATACAATTGTACTTAAAATATCAGCACTGGTGCTGAACGGTGCAACAGGCATGAACGAAGGACACAAGATCACGCCTTCCCGAATGAAAGAAAAAAGTTATTTTCTAGCTATTGAAATCTCGACGCCATCTTTGTTGTATGAAGTAAACAACGAAGAGAACAAAAAAAAACGCGTAATTGTTGACCGCATGAATAATAATTTTTATTATGCATATTTTTCTATAAATCATGTCGTTGTGTTAAATTATTCTTTACCTTATGTGTGCACACGTTGTCACAAGCTAAAATTAAAAAAATTGCAGTAAAAAGCCACCACCAAATTGTAAACAACGAACAAATGTATATAAACGGCTAATGTCAAAGTCGCCCAACTTTTTTCCTAAATGCGATTATAACGGGCTACTAAGAAGAAGGCGTGATCTTGTATTTTTGGTTCATGTGCAACAGGCCTAGGGCTTGAATTGCTGCAAATCGGAATCGTATTAAATGACTTGAAAAATAGTAGCAAAAGATAAAGTCGGTATAACCAAAGAACGTAGAACCTTATCTACGTTCTTTGGCAATACGTTAATTCTTTTATTTTAAAGCTCTAATTTATTTTGTTTAAGCTTAAATATTGGTATGAGTGGTTAACGAACACGGTTAACAATATTATACTGTCAATTTGTGTAGCTATAAACCCCGTAAACTCAAGAAATTTCGTTTTAATGATGAACAAAAATTTGGTAGTTTGGAAACTGATTCGGTACGCGTTTTTTACCTAAAAATAAACTGGCTGGCAACACTGCTCCAACCCTGAACAGGCCCAATCAGTGTTGCCGGTTTCCAACTAAAGGGGAAATTTGACCTTTTAAGCGCCAATACCATTTGGCCCGACTTTTGGATAATTTTGATTTTTTGACCCTTTTCCAAAATTATGTGCAACTTTTGCCCCTTTTCAGAGATTTTTTAGGAAATGTTAACAGAACCATGCTATTAAAAAAAATTTTCTCTTGAAGGTACGAAAAAAGGCATCACTTAAAACTTTTAAAGTAATCGCCACTTTTGCCTTGCAGCAACTGGATTTATGGTTATGCTTGCAACCCTGTTTTGTGCAAAGCTTGTCCCGCTATTTTATTTTCAAATTCAACGGATTCTTTATTCTTTTACTTGTAAGAAAAGCAAAAATAATCTGGTGACCCTTGTTTTCGTCAATGACCCTTTTTTGCGACTTTCTGAAAAGCCCAACGGCAGCACTGGGCGCAATAGTGTTGTTGTCTCAGTTTTAACGAAACAGCGAACGGGTTGAGATGTGTTTGGGTTAATTTGGCTGAGAAAAAAATAAAAAGAACGAGTGAAAGTATAAGAATATTTGTGCATTTGTTTGGAATAGCAGAGTTAAGTATCATAAATGTTTACAGTGTATTAAACTAACTACATTCAAGAGGAATTTCCTGGCAAAGAAGTCGCAAATGTGAATATACATAAATTGTCAATATGTATACAAAAGCTATGTGACCAGGATAAAGTGCATTCCAAAGTTATCTGTTTTATAGAACGAGGTATTAATGTGCAATATGTGTAAATTAGTATGTATGTATATACAAGTAAAACTTAAATGAAATCTACAATAAAATCCAATTTCAGTAATGGAGAATGTGCATGTGCAAATTTGAAGAACACAAGTTTGAAGATACATATGTATGTACATATGCATGTATCTGCTTACGACAAAAATTCATTAAACGCTACTGTCCAGTGAAAACCTTTGATTTAAAGTGTATTAATGTTGGAACAACATCTAAGAAAGTGACAAATTTTTAAAGTGAAAGCAATTACTAATATCCAGGTGCGTGTTCTAAAAATGTCCAAGAAAATACCTAAAAATTTAACCATCAATAGACACTTGTTGGTCTTGTCGCTGATTGTATTCATGGAAGTGCGGTGTTGATGTTATCGTGTTGTCACTTGTATTTTAGAAAACTACATGGGTACCGAACTCGAGTGTTCGACCATGAATCTTCTATTTCGAACACAATGCTATTGTTATTAGCAGGTTATCATATTGCTCCCAAGCTGGTTGATGTTTGGGTGCATGCAGAGGCTGTGATCTAGGCGCAATCATCGTCGTGAGTGTGAATTAAATACAAAAAAAAAAGAGATGTACTTCCGTAATTAAACACACAATAAAAAGTAGTGCCGGTGAAATGCATACAATGGTATTTAATTTAGTGCTCGTTAGGGATATTGCCATAAAATAATAGTAATACTTACCTACATACACACAATTTATAAAAGAATTAAATTGTCCTGAAATGCATCCATATATGTACATATGTATGTACATATATACATACCAACCCACACATCGTCGTTGAAAGTAGAAAACCGCGCATATTTGTTTGCAAAACCCCGTAACTGACATAAGATATGCTCACCGGAAGTCCTAGCATCAAGCCTTATCTATTCGTACAAAATATCAATTTATAAAATTAACCTGAAATAGGATTGCTTTATAAAAGAGAGAACCGTTTTGAAATAAGTTAATTTTACTCAATTCTGTAAAATTTGGGCAACCTTAAATACACGATTTTGCATTATCTTAGTACCCGGTTTTGTACTTTAAATGACGATATTATGTATATATGTATGTATGTATGTATGTATTAATAATATTTCATTTCCAAATCTTATTATTTTCAGATCTAGTTTTTGGACACTAGTCAAAGAGTATAGGTTAAAAATACACATGTACAATTATTACTACAGAAAATAGTACAATACACTAGAAACGCACTTAATTTTATCAAATAGTGGATATCTATATTATATTTTTAAATCCCAA